TTCTTTGCCTCCATAGATATATATATATATATATATATATATATATATATATATATATATATATATATATATATATATATAATATATATATCCTTTTCTTTCAACACACCGGCCGTATCCCACCGAGACGGGGTGGCCCAAAAGGAAAAAACGAAAGTTTCTCCTTTTACATTTAGTAATATATACAGTAGAAGGGGTTACTAGCCTCTTGCTCCCGGCATTTTAGTGGCCTCTTACAACACGCATGGCTTACGGCGGAAGAATTCTGTTCCACTTCCCCATGGAGGTAAGAGGAAATAAACAAGAACAAGAACTAGAAAGAAAATAGAAGAAAACCCAAAGGGGTGTGTATATATATGCTTGTACATGTATGTGTAGTGTGACCTAAGTGTAAGTAGAAGTAGCATATATATATAATATATATATATATCCTAGGTAGTAGGTTGGTAGACAGCAACCGCCCAGGGAGGTACTACCGTCCTGCCAAGTGAGTGTAAAACTGAAACCGGTAATTGTTTTACATGATGGTAGGATTGCTGGTGTCTTTTTTTTCTGTCTCATACACATGCAAGATTTCAGGTACGTCTTGCTACTTCTATATATAAACTATGGGGAATCAAATACAAAATGGGAGTTGACACAGTTACTTTTTGTTGATGATACTGTGCTTTTGGGAGATTCTAAAGAGAAGAAGCAAAAATTAGTGAATGAGTTTGGGAGGGTGTATAAAGAAAGTTGAAAGTGAACACAGATAAGAGTAAGGGGATGAGGGTATGAAAAGAGTTAGGTAAAGAAGAATTGGATATCACATTGGAGAGAGGAAGTATGGAAGAAATAAATGTGTTCAGATATTGGGGAGTAGATCTGTCAGCAGATGGGTTTATGAAGGATGAGGTAAACCATAGAACTGATGAAGGAAAAAAGGTGAGTGGTGCATTTGAGGTGTCTGTGAGACAGTGTTATCCTTGGTGGCAAAGAAGGGAATGAACGAGAGTATAGTGGTACTAACATTCTTATATGGGTATGAAACATGGGTTATGGATGCTGTAGTGAGGAGGAGGCTAGAAGTGGTGGAGATGTCGTGTCTAAGGACAACGTGTGGTGTAAATATTAAGAAGAGAATTCATAATGTGGAAATTAGGAGGAGGTGTGAGTTACTAAAAGTATTATTCTGAGGGCTAAAGATGGGTTATTGAGGTGGTTTGGTCATTTAGAGAGGATGGGGCAAAACAGGTTGACTTGGAGGGTGTGTAAATCTGTATTAGAGGGGAGGAGGGGCAGGGGTCATCCTAGGAAAGGATGGAGAAAGAAGGTAAAAGAGCTTTCATGTGCAAGGGGCATGGACATGCAGCAGGCACATGTGAGCATGTTAGAGAGGGGTGAAAGGAGACAAATGGTTTTTTGGACATGATGAGCTGATGGAGTGTGAGCAGGGAAATATTTTGTGAAGGGATTCAGGGAAACTGGTTAGCCGGACTTGAGTCCTGGAGGTAGGAAGTACAATGCCTGCACTTAAGAGGAGGGGTTTGGGATACTGGCTGTTTGAAGTAACATCAAATCTGTTATATCTGGGCACCTCTACAAAGACAGCAATTATGTGTGAATGATGGTGAAAGTGTTTCTTTTTTTGGGTCACCCTACCTTGGTGGGAGACAGCGAACCTGTTGAGAAAAAAATATGTATATATCACTCTATATATATTTCTCTCTCTCTCACTTATTCTTATGTGTGTGTCTCAGTGTACTTCACAGGGTAGTGTAGCTAGACAGACACAGTTGGAGGGTCAGCTGGTAGACTCACCACTTCTGGGTAAGTACACTTATATACTGTATTTCAACAATCATAATAATAATAAAAATAATAATAATAATAATAATAATAATAATGTGGTGAATGGTTTTGAAAACTGACAAGTTGAAGAATTGAGACACTTGTGCAACACATGGGAATCTTTATTGAGGAAATGTTTTGCCACACAGTGGCTGATGAAGCCACTGTGTGGCAAAACGTTTCTTCAATAAAGATTCCCATGTGTTGCACAAGTGTCTCAATTCTTCAATAATAATAATAATAATAATAATAATAATAATAATAATAATAATATGTCAACTGTTGCCATTAAATTTCATTTTTTTTTTATTTTTCTCTTATGATATAGTAGTGAGTGATGAAAACATTTCTTTGGGTCACTTTGCCTCAATGGGAAAGGGCCGATCTCTTAAAAAAATAATAATTAAAATTGTACTATGATACCACAATTTAAGTTTTTTAGGTAAACTGAAAATCTGTTTTAACAAGGAATTCCTGAGAAAAAAGTAAGTTCAGAAAATGATGTAAATTACATGTCACTGAAGTGACAGACAATATTTACTTTACAGCTAATCCAAATGCAACTTTATTGAATTTAAGTAATGCAGAACTAGACATTATTCACAAATACTTCAACATACAGAAGTGCATCCTTAATTTTGTATACATGATACTTATTACAAGAATATAAAATAATGATTCTGTCTTTGGAGACAACAAAATTCCAGGATCACACAACCGCTACAATCAATTCAATATTCAAGTTTTTTTTTTTTCATTTATTTTCTTGGGAGAAGGGATTCCATGATTATTTAACAACAAATATTAGCCCACATTCCTCACTAAATATGATTAAACTATATTTTCATATTCTCAATGCCACAAGCATTTGAAAAACAGTATATTCTTATTCTCTTATCTGTAATTCTCACAACCATTAAATACATTTTGAAAGTATTCAAAATATGCTAGAATCCTCATTTTCTGTAATGAGGAATCTAGCCAACCTGTAATCCTTAAAACAATTAAACTTGATAAAAGTGTTCATTGTAATTCCTAAATTTATTTTTACAATCACTTAGAGACTGTATATGTAAGTAATCAATTAATTACGTATTACGGTATAGTTTGTTTGCAATCGTGTCATTACGATTTTGTGAGTCAATTAATTATTGCGTTATTAGCCTTAATTTAGCCTTAATTTTGACTGAAATGCTCTCCATATTAAGGAGCTTTCTGCACACACACCTCAATGTCATCCAACTCTATACAAACATTGTATCATGCCAAAGTACGTATTCTTTAATATGCGCATATACAAATAGTATGTACGTATATATACTGTATTTTAATACACTACTTGGATATTCAATCCAATTATTAGATTGAAAAAACTGCTATGGGCAAAACATCTCAATAAATATCCCACTAGTATATTTATTGATATATAAAACTGACAGAGTAAATGATGGTAAAGGTGTTTCTTTTTTTCGGGTCACCCTGCCTCGGTAGGAAATAGCCAATGTGTTAGTAAAAATATAAAAAAATAACAAAACTGACAAGTAGATGAATAAGACACATGTGCAGTGCCGGGTACATTTATCAGAAAGAATTTATAAAGCTTAAATAACACTACAACTTTATAATAAAGATACCTAGGCACTGTGTGTGTCTTATTCGTCTTCCACTTATCGTATTATACACAAGTCTCAGTCATCTAGTTTTGGTATTACATGTGTCTTATTTATCTTGCAGTTCTAGTATTACACACGTCTTATTCACCTACCAGTCATATTTACATACTTGTATTTAATACCATCCCTTACCAAGGTCTCTACTCTAAATTTTAGATCTGAGGATTGGTATTGGTCACAAGACCTGCTGCAACAGGACCAATGAACTGCCAGAACTGCAAAAAGCATTCTCCTTATATGACAAAGTGATCCAGAATATAGAAACCACATCAAGGTTGGTCACTCAGGCTTGTTTACACCCCAAGACCAAGAACCGCTGGCAAGACATATACAACAAGACTTTTAAAATTGCTAACCTGCTTGAGGAGTTGCAGAATTATTTGCCAGAAGTCGTAGTTGGATTGAAACTCAATTACAAAACCTGTCCTTCAGTGGAAACTCGTTTAGTGAGGTTAGATGTTACCTACGGCGACCGCACTAGAAGTTCAGTTGGCCCAGGACTGTACTTAGATGTTGAAACACAAACGACCACAGTGAGAGGATGTTCACAGACCAACCACTTCAGGAATATTATGCCTGCCATTAAAGGCTATAATGGAACACATGGAGAATTTTGTGTGGTCCTTAACTCCACTGCCTCGACAACATTCCCAGTCTCAACACTGATATCAACAACAAAACATAAAACATCAACCACAGCTTCATATTTAACAACTACAGGAATGCCAGAACACAGAAAAACAACTAAAGTAAAACCAGACACACACAATGGAACAACTACAGTCAGACCAGAAAATAGAAAAACTACATCAATGTCTAAGTCAAAACCACCTAGAAAAACTACATCAATGTCTAAGTCAAAACCACCTAGAAAAACTACATCAATGTCTAAGTCAAAACCACCTAGAAAAACTACATCAATGTCTAAGTCAAAACCACCTAGAAAAACTACATCAATGTCTAAGTCAAAACCACCTAGAAAAACTACATCAATGTCTAAGTCAAAACCACCTAGAAAAACTACATCAATGTCTAAGTCAAAAACCACCTAGAAAAACTACATCAATGTCTAAGTCAAAACCACCTAGAAAAACTACATCAATGTCTAAGTCAAAACCACCTAGAAAAACTACATCAATGTCTAAGTCAACACCACCTAGAAAAACTACATCAATGTCTAAGTCAAAACCACCTAGAAAAACTACATCAATGTCTAAGTCAACACCACCTAGAAAAACTACATCAATGTCTAAGTCAACACCACCTAGAAAAACTACATCAATGTCTAAGTCAAAACCACCTAGAAAAACTACATCAATGTCTAAGTCAACACCACCTAGAAAAACTACATCAATGTCTAAGTCAACACCACCTAGAAAAAACTACATCAATGTCTAAGTCAACACCACCTAGAAAAACTACATCAATGTCTAAGTCAACACCACCTAGAAAAACTACATCAATGTCTAAGTCAAAACCACCTAGAAAAACTACATCAATGTCTAAGTCAACACCACCTAGAAAAACTACATCAATGTCTAAGTCAACACCACCTAGAAAAACTACATCAATGTCTAAGTCAACACCACCTAGAAAAACTACATCAATGTCTAAGTCAACACCACCTAGAAAAACTACATCAATGTCTAAGTCAACACCACCTAGAAAAACTACATCAATGTCTAAGTCAACACCACCTAGAAAAACTACATCAATGTCTAAGTCAACACCACCTAGAAAAACTACGGCACAACACACTATAACAACAACTAGAAGAAAAACCCCAACACACGCAAAAACTTTTACAGCTTCACACTTCTGGACACTACCAGGAAAAAACACCACAGTCAGTCCAGGTGCTACTGTAACTACTGTACGCATAATTACACCTCAGAATGCTACTAACACAGGTATGACTCCCACTACCATCAATACCAACAATACAATCAAAGAATGTGTGACAGCACCGTTCTTGGTAGCTCAACGCATCACAGACTTCAACAGAGAACTGTCCAACATAACTATGAGAATCAATGAAATTACCAAGGAACTGATCAAGTGTTCACTTGACAAAGACAAGCTGAACAAAGTTCATATTCTCTCATCAAACCTCGAAACTGCTCTCCAAGAGTTGAAGAACATACAGGCAGAGCTGGAGAGCATAAAAGGACCTCATCGCAGATTCCTCTTGTTTTCCTCATTACAAAATCTCCTCAACACTGTCAACTCCAGAGCTCATGGTAGGTAACTAGTTGATGCAGTTTATTGGGTTTAAATTTTATCAGCTACATGATGGTCATGAAGGCTGCATGGTCACCTGTACACCACCAATCAAGGATACTTTTATCCCTAAAATATGGATTAAGTAAGCTCTAAACACATATGTACTGCTAGATACGCATCTTGATGTTTATTATTACAGGTGGTAGCTAGGGTATCTGGTGAGGTGTAGGGTTAAAAATCTCTAACATTGATTCTTTGTCACCTAGCAGTATATACCAAGCAGTTAGTGACTGTTGTGGTTGGCATCCTGGGAAATAACCAGAAGACAACAATGGAAATAAGCCACATTGCTTGGCTTTCTTGGGTTATCCTGAGATTTGTCAGAAGGATGCCTAAACAAGAAGGCTTCAGATCATTAACCCTTGAGGATTTATAACCCAGGCAAAATGCTGTATAATCATTATGGCTTTAGCTCATCCTCATGAATACAATAACCCAGGACAACCAAAGAAAGTCAAACACAGTGGTTTATTTCCACAGGAGTCCTTAAGACTTTCTTCAAAATTTGACCCTCAACAATCAATCAACTGAAAAATTGAGACTCTTATGCAACATATGGGAATCTTTATTGAAGAAACATTTTGCCACACAGTGGCTTCATGAGTCTTATACAAAGCAGGAAGGTATAAGAAGAGGGTATAAGGAGGGGAGGAGTTTGAGGTAATCAGTCCCTCAGCCTGATATATGTCTTATGAGCCACCATTTTTAACGTATATACATGTATACTCATAAATTCTAGAGGCTTCAAATCAAGCAGGAGTAAGCTGGTAGGCCCACATGTGAGAGAATGGGTCTGTGTGGTCAGTGTGCACCATATAAAAAAAATCCTGTAGCACGCAGTGCATGAGGAAAAAAACTGACCGTTTTTTTTTAATTAAAATGCTGACTTTGTGGTCTATTTTCGTATAGTATTTATGGTTGTATTTTCGTTTTCTTGGTCTCATTTGATAGAATGGAAAACATATTATAGAAATAGAGGTGATTTTGATTGGTTTTACTATGAAAAGAACCTTGAAATGGAGCTCAAAGTACGGGAAATGTTTGATTTATGCTGATGTTCAAAAGTAAACAAATGATGTCATTTTCCAATAAATGTCCAAGTAGCCATTCTAATATGCAGTCATGAATGGTTTGACATTATTTATACAATTATTACAATTTTGCAGTGGTCTGCATAACAGTAAATCTTCTATTTTTTGTTTGAATAAAAATTCAAAATAGAAAGCAAGAGTAATATCAGAGGTGCCTGGAGACGTGACTGATGAACAAAGAAAATGTTATTTTAGAACCAGGAATGTCTGCATTGTTCATTCTGGGCCCTATTTTGAAATTGTCATATTTTTTAATTTTCATGAAATTGGCCAAATTGCAAATTTCTGACCACGTTATTGGGTAGTTGAAATCAGTAAATGGGCAGTTTCTTGTACTCAATCAATAGAAAATATGGAGTTCTAAAGAAACAGCTATGAGTTTGGTTGACTGGAACAATGGAATTAGCCGAAAATAGGGCTCAAAGTGGACAAAATTGCTGATTTGTAAATATCGCCGAGGTCGCTAACTTCACGAGAGCGTAATTCCATCAGTTTTCCATCAAATTTCGTTCTTTTGGTGTCATTACAATCGGAAAAAGATTCTCTATCATTTCCTAAGAATTTTTTTTTTTTTTTTTTTTTTTGAAATTTTGAGATGCCAGGAGACACCTCAGGATTTGGGGTTGCGACAGTCAAGGAGTTAAAGTTATTTACTGGTACTCAGTATTAAAGCCTCACTGAGCAATTCGAGTTCATGTAGACTAATCATTGTACAGAAGAATTTACAAGTTATTGTGTGAAAATCAGTAATTCAGTATTCACAATTTCTTCAATAAAATTTGCACCTATGCTACCCAAGATTACTACTTACAAAATCAAGTTAAGACACCACAGCATTTAAAGTCTCAAAACTCCAAGATTCTTTGGCTAAAAAAATGACAAATAAAAACCTATACAGCCCAACAACAATGTGAATTTTTCTTTGAGCAAAGCCCACCATTCCTGAAACTTTGAAGCTGATCAGAAAAAACATTATTTAGCTATTTCTCAGAATCAAAGTTCATTAGTTATGTTACAAAACTGGTAAATTTGCATCTACAAAGTCTTAAGGTTATTGGGTCCCATCCTGTCCATGATATGCATCAATCAATAAAGATTGTACAGGCAGGCCCTGCTTTACAGCTTGCCAGAAATGCTCTGCATAACTATGGGCCTTAAACAACCTCTCAAGTGTCACCCATTTCTGTGTGAAGAATGTATCATGTTGAAATAAGCTTATATTTGTAGTCAGCTGCATGATATTAGTCAGAGAGAGAGGGACATGAGCATGCACATGTAGGTGAATATATGTGTGTGTGTGTGTCTGATCTTCCATATACAGACAACTGCATCTTACTGAACTCTCTTATACTTGTCACTCATCTGGTAGGGTCCACTGGGCTATACAATTTGATCACTAGGCTTTGTGCAGCATTATGGTCCTGTAATATCTCTTTCATGCCAACAGTGGTGTGTGGCAACAGCGAGCACATGCTGCTGAAGTCCCTGAAGGATCTGTCCTGGGCCCTGAGTGCCCTGACAGAGGACATTGACAGCAGCAAGCACCAATACCAGGTCAACAATGCTGCACGAACAGCAGTCACTGCCTTCTCTCAGGTGAAACTTTCTTTATACAGCCGAATTTAAAAATTAATTGTTATCTTACCTCAGCAGCAGGGAGGAGTAAAAGGGATTAAATTGGTTAAATCAGGTGTGCCTGAGGGAGCTAAAGAAAGGGGTTAGGAGTAATATTAAATGATCAACCACAAAAGAAAAGAAGAGGTATTGGGGTTAAATTCAAGAATTATGTGGATGAGAATAAGAGTGGGATGTAATCAGTGGATTACAGTGTTATTGCACCAGGAAAAGAGAGATTGAGAGAGAGAGATTGAGAAGAGAGAGAGAGAGAGAGAGAGAGAGAGAGAGAGAGAGAGAGATTGAGATTGAGAGAGATTGAGATAGATTGAGATTGAGATAGATTGAGATTGAGAGAGATTGAGATTGAGAGAGAGAGAGATTGAGAGAGAGAGAGATTGAGAGAGAGAGAGATTGAGAGAGAGAGAGAGAGAGATTGAGAGAGAGAGAGAGATTGAGAGAGAGAGAGAGATAGAGAGAGAGAGATAGAGAGAGAGAGATAGAGAGAGAGAGATAGAGAGAGAGAGATAGAGAGAGAGAGAGAGAGAGAGAGAGAGAGAGAGAGAGAGAGAGAGAGAGAGAGAGAGAGAGAGAGAGAGAATGAATGTATAGAGGAGAGATTTTGGGAAGTGTTAAGCAAATGTTCAGAGAGTTTTGAACCAAGTGAGAAAATAATTGTTGCAGAGGACATAAATGCTAAAATGGGAGAAACTGTTGTAGGATAGACAGGGATGTGTGATATAACCATGGTTGTTTAACATATTTATAGATGGGATCATAAAAGAAGTAAATGCTAAGGTGTTGGAAAGAGATGTGGGAATAGAGGTTAATGAATTTGATACAAAGTGGGGGTTGTCACAGTTGCCTTTTTGCCAATGACACTGTTCGTTTGTGACATTCTGGGAAGAAGTTGCAAAGGTTGGTAGAGGAATTTGGGAGAGTACAGGAGGGTCCTGCTTATACAGCAGGTTAGGTTCTGGGCTACTGCTGAAAAGCGAAAATCACTGTAAAATGAAACATAGCCTTTTTCACCTTCAAATGCATGTACAAGCCTGATAACATGTTTACACTATCATATATAAAGTGAGCAATAGAACTAGGCCTAAAAAATGCATATACAGTACACATATTACTTACCTTAAAATATTTTCATTCTTAGCTTATAGTGAGTAGTGAATACAGTGGACCCCCGGGTTACGATATTATTTCATTCCAGAAGTATGTTCAGGTGCCAGTACTGACCGAATTTGTTCCCATAAGGAATATTGTGAATTAGATTAGTCCATTTCAGACCCCCAAACATACACATACAAACGCACTTACATAAATACACTTACATAATTGGTCTCATTGGGAGCTGATCGTAAACCGGGGGTCCACTGTATATTTATTGTAGGAAGTCTGAATAAATGAAGAATGGGTATAATTGAAAACCACTGCATTAGAAAAACACTGTAAAGTGGGGCCCACCTGTATGTAAAACAAGGAAATTAAAAGTGAACCTAGAAAAAAAACAGATGATAAGAGTAACAAAAAATCTCGGCAATGAGAGGTTGGATATCAGATTTAAGGGAGTATGAAGTATAGGAGATGGCCAGTGTGTTAAATAGTAAGTAAGTTTATTCAGGTATACACAAATACAGTTACATAGATTACCATATATTGCAGCATATGTGTAGAAAACCTAGGATAACCCAAAAATCACTTAGAGGGACAGTACTTTATAGGTCAGTGCACACAGCAGTTTTACAGGTAGTAGTAACTTAATTTTAACCATAGTTCAAAATACATGATATTCTCTCTAAGACTGCTACTTTAAAAAGTACTATATGTGAACTGATAGCATTACACATTAAAACTGTTGTCACACAGCTGTCTTAACAAGGCAATTAACAACACAATATAAACTTGAACATTTAATTCAATTCTTCATAAATGACACCCTCTAGAATTTTAATTACTGTACTCATGTATTGTGGGCAGGTGGTTCGTGGACACTGCGAGCTGAGCAACAATGAACAGGCAGAGGTTAAGCAGCTCTTGAACCACCTGAGTGACCATAAGATAAAGAAGGTGGCTGCTCTTCTCTCTCAGGTCAGTGTGATCTTCCTAGCTTATACTGGAACATACAGCTATTTGCTCACCCCTTTGAACTCAAATTAGGTTGTAATGAATAAACAGATGAGGGCTTCGAACCATAGTCCATAAACTAACAGTCCAGACCCCTCATCCACCCATATGTTTATTTCTTGACTTATTATTTGCATTATACTTATAGGGAATAAGACTCAAGATAAGTCATAACAAACAACTGCTAATGAATAAACAGATGAATGAACAATATGGACCCTATCCATGCTTCTGTTTATTCAGCAAGAGTTATTCACTGTGACTTAGCATGGGTTTATGGACTATATGGCTTTGTGAGATACAAGAATACAAATACTGTACCATGAAAGTTTCTGAGGCTCAGGTATGAGACAGTAGGGTCACAGTTGGTGCCACTGATACAACCACACAGCTCAATTCTTTGAATCAAGAACCCTTCATCAACATCACAGCATTCCCCTTATCACCAAAGGATGACAGTCATTAAGGGTGCTAAACCAGTAAGGATCATACTGTCTGGGGAATGTCAATATCAGGTTTGATCCATGGAAGGGAAGGAGTACCTCTAATTCTTGATTACCAGCATCAAAGCATTTCCTTAAAGAGATGTTATTATGCAGATTCTGATCAGTTCTGTTTAATCCTTCAGACATGTGAGAGATGTCTAGATCCTGACCACTGGCTCTACCTTCAAATTTCCCTTTTTTTTTTTTTTTTTGACATTTATATTTTTATTTTTTTCATCTGCTATCTTCCAATTCTCTTTTACTCTTCAATTTTCCATCCTGTTAAGGTATCCTCCTCTTTTATGCCTTCTTCTCTTTCATCACAATTTTATCTTAGTAAGTTGTGTCATCCGTAGAGTGAGGATGCTAACCTGGCCAAGAAGTCAGAATTGGAGAATCAGTTGCAACAGCTGGAAGGTCGCAAGTGGCAGGTAGAAGCAGTTCTCAAGCAATATAAGTTTAATGCTTCTGCTACTATTACTGGAACAACTGTTGCTGGTGGTGGTACTGCTGATCGTGCTTCTCCAGGTGCTAATGCTGATGTTAATGAAGCCTTGGCTACTACTGGTGGAGGGGGTGGTGCCACTGGTGCTGCTGATGCTGCCGTTACTGGTGCTTCTGGTGGTGCTGCTGCTACTCGTGTTGTTGCCACCCAGGTTTAATGTAGTATTATTAACAAAGATGCACACACAACACAACCATAGTAGATAATCAGGCTTGATCTAAGGAAAGGGAGGGCAGCTCTAACTCCTAGGATTGAGAATCCTTCACCAGTATCAAGGCACCTAAGCCATCCTAGAAAAGCATCTTGGTTTATAATGACCAACTCGAGGGATTACTGCTATTATTAACCCTCAAGGGAGGTTCTTTGATACTGGTGAGAGGCTCATGATCCAAGGAATTGGACCTGCCCTCCCCTTCCCTGGATCAAATTTGAATGTCTCCCATTCCCCCCAAGCACTATACAACTCCTATGGGCTCAGTGCTTGCCCATGAACATAGCATAATTTTTTTTTTTTATTATCACACCGGCCGATTCCCACCAAGGCAGGGTGGCCCGAAAAAGAAAAACTTTCACCATCATTCACTCCATCACTGTCTTGCCAGAAGGGTGCTTTACACTACAGTTTTTAAACTGCAACATTAACACCCCTCCTTCAGAGTGCAGGCACTGTACTTCCCATCTCCAGGACTCAAGTCCGGCCTGCCGGTTTCCCTGAATCCCTTCATAAATGTTACTTTGCTCACACTCCAACAGCACGTCAAGTATTAAAAACCATTTGTCTCCATTCACTCCTATCAAACACGCTCACGCATGCCTGCTGGAAGTCCAAGCCCCTCGCACACAAAACCTCCTTTACCCCCTCCCTCCAACCCTTCCTAGGCCGACCCCTACCCCGCCTTCCTTCCACTACAGACTGATACACTCTTGAAGTCATTCTGTTTCGCTCCATTCTCTCTACATGTCCGAACCACCTCAACAACCCTTCCTCAGCCCTCTGGACAACAGTTTTGGTAATCCCGCACCTCCTCCTAACTTCCAAACTACGAATTCTCTGCATTATATTTACACCACACATTGCCCTCAGACATGACATCTCCACTGCCTCCAGCCTTCTCCTCGCTGCAACATTCATCACCCACGCTTCACACCCATATAAGAGCGTTGGTAAAACTATACTCTCATACATTCCCCTCTTTGCCTCCAAGGACAAAGTTCTTTGTCTCCACAGACTCCTAAGTGCACCACTCACTCTTTTTCCCTCATCAATTCTATGATTCACCTCATCTTTCATAGACCCATTCGCTGACACGTCCACTCCCAAATATCTGAATACGTTCACCTCCTCCATACTCTCTCCCTCCAATCTGATATTCAATCTTTCATCACCTAATCTTTTTGTTATCCTCATAACCTTACTCTTTCCTGTATTCACCTTTAATTTTCTTCTTTTGCACACCCTACCAAATTCATCCACCAATCTCTGCAACTTCTCTTCAGAATCTCCCAAGAGCACAGTGTCATCAGCAAAGAGCAGCTGTGACAACTCCCACTTTGTGTGTGATTCTTTATCTTTTAACTCCACGCCTCTTGCCAAGACCCTCGCATTTACTTCTCTTACAACCCCATCTATAAATATATTAAACAACCACGGTGACATCACACATCCTTGTCTAAGGCCTACTTTTACTGGGAAAAAATTTCCCTCTTTCCTACATACTCTAACTTGAGCCTCACTATCCTCGTAAAAACTCTTCACTGCTTTCAGTAACCTACCTCCTACACCATACACTTGCAACATCTGCCACATTGCCCCCTATCCACCCTGTCATACGCCTTTTCCAAATCCATAAATGCCACAAAGACCTCTTTAGCCTTATCTAAATACTGTTCACTTATATGTTTCACTGTAAACACCTGGTCCACACACCCCTACCTTTCCTAAAGCCTCCTTGTTCATCTGCTATCCTATTCTCCGTCTTACTCTTAATTCTTTCAATTATAACTCTACCATACACTTTACCAGGTACACTCAACAGACTTATCCCCCTATAATTTTTGCACTCTCTTTTATCCCCTTTGCCTTTATACAAAGGAACTATGCATGCTCTCTGCCAATCCCTAGGTACCTTACCCTCTTCCATACATTTATTAAATAATTGCACCAACCACTCCAAAACTATATCCCCACCTGCTTTTAACATTTCTATTTTATCCCATCAATCCCGGCTGCCTTACCCCCTTTCATTTTACCTACTGCCTCACGAACTTCCCCCACACTCACAACTGGCTCTTCCTCACTCCTACAAGATGTTATTCCTCCTTGCCCTATACACGAAATCACAGCTTCCCTATCTTCATCAACATTTAACAATTCCTCAAAATATTCCTTCCATCTTCCCATACCTCTAACTCTCCATTTAATAACTCTCCTCTCCTATTTTTAACTGACAAATCCATTTGTTCTCTAGGCTTTCTTAACTTGTTAATCTCACTCCAAAACTTTTTCTTATTTTCAACAAAATTTGTTGATAACATCTCACCCACTCTCTCATTTGCTCTCTTTTTACATTGCTTCACCACTCTCTTAACTTCTCTCTTTTTCTCCATATACTCTTCCCTCCTTGCATCACTTCTACTTTGTAAAAACTTCTCATATGCTAACTTTTTCTCCCTTACTACTCTCTTTACATCATCATTCCACCAATCGCTCCTCTTCCTCCTGCACCCACTTTCCTGTAACCACAAACTTCTGCTGAACACTCTAACACTACATTTTTAAACCTACCCCATACCTCTTCGACCCCATTGCCTATGCTCTCATTAGCCCATCTATCCTCCAATAGCTGTTTATATCTTACCCTAACTGCCTCCTCTTTTAGTTTATAAACCTTTACCTCTCTCTTCCCTGATGCTTCTATTCTCCTTGTATCCCATCTACCTTTTACTCTCAGCGTAGCTACAACTAGAAAGTGATCTGATATATCTGTGGCCCCTCTATAAACATGTACATCCTGAAGTCTACTCAACAGTCTTTTATCTACCAATACATAATCCAACAAACTACTGTCATTTCGCCCTACATCATATCGTGTATACTTATTTATCCTCTTTTTCTTAAAATATGTATTACCTATAACTAAACCCCTTTCTATACAAAGTTCAATCAAAGGGCTCCCATTATCATTTACACCTGGCACCCCAAAACTTACCTACCACACCCTCTCTAAAAGTTTCTCCTACTTTAGCATTCAAGTCCCCTACCACAATTACTCTCTCACTTGGTTCAAAGGCTCCTATACATTCACTTAACATCTCCCAAAATCTCTCTCTCTCCTCTGCATTCCTCTCTTCTCCAGGTGCATACACGCTTATTATGACCCACTTCTCGCATCCAACCTTTACTTTAATCCACATAATTCTTGAATTTACACATTCATATTCTCTTTTCTCCTTCCATAACTGATCATTTAACATTACTGCTACCCCTTCCTTTGCTCTAACTCTCTCAGATACTCCAGATTTAATCCCATTTATTTCCCCCCACTGAAACTCTCCTACCCCCTTCAGCTTTGTTTCGCTTAGGGCCAGGACATCCAACTTCTTTTCATTCATAACATCAGCAATCATCTGTTTCTTGTCATCCGCACTATTGTTATTATAATTATGGGGAAATCAGGTTCGATTCAAGGTCGGCGAGGGTAGCTCTAATATGTAATATATACATTTTTTTTTTTTAACAAGTTGGCCGTCTCCCGCCAAAACAGGGTGACCCAAAAAGAAAATACTTTCATCATCATTCAACACTTTCACCTCACTCATACATAATCACTGTCTTTGTAGAGGGGCCTAGATACAACAGTTTAGAAGCATATACGTATAAAGATATGTAACATATCCCTCCAAACTGCCAATATCCCAAACTCCTCCTTTAAAGTGCAGGCATTATACTTCCCATTTCCAGTACTCAAGTCTGGCTATATCAAAATAACTGGTTTCCCTGAATCCCTTCACTAAATATTACCCTGCTCACACTCCAACAGCTCGTCAGGTCCCAAAAACCATTCGTCTCCATTCACTCCTATCTAACACGCTCACACATGCTTGCTGGAAGTCTAAGCCCCTCGCCCACAAAACCTCCTTTATATACATACATATGTATGTACTTGAAAAAAAAAAAGACACTTTGAGGGGGACACATACTGATGTCACCATCATACAGTATTATACCTCTACCTTACAACAAGTATTTTATAATTCAATGAATTTTCTTCTCATTAATTAAATTCCTTTTACTCTTCAATGTACTGTGTGGTGATAAATAAAGCATATGTTAAACAAGACAATCCTGTATCAACCTCCTACACAAAATTAAATGCAGCATATATACATTTTTTTTTTTTTAAACAAGTCGGCCGTCTCCCACCGAGGCAGGGTGACCCAAAAAGAAAGAAAATCCCCAAAAAGAAAATACTTTCATCATCATTCAACACTTTCACCTCACTCACACATAATTACTGTTTTTGCAGAGGTGCTCAGAACACAACAGTTTAGAAGCATATATGTATAAAGATACACAACATATCCCTCCAAACTGCTAATATATACATGTATCTACTAATTATTATATTAACTGAGAAGCATCTGGGGAACAGGAGATACTAAGGTTTGATCCAAGGAAAGGGACTGTAGCTCCAATTCTTGATATTAAGAAAGGACCCCTCTGCCAACAATGCTGCTCCCAACAGAAAGTGAATTATTTTAAATGAGCAGGATGTAAATTCTCTTGAGTGTGGGATACCAGATGGCTATATTAAGTTTTATGATGCAGTAACAGAAGCACAGGTGGGTGTTAATTATGACTTCTATCCTGAGTCAGTGAAGAGGGACGGACGGACGGACGGACGGACGGACACACACACACACACACACACACACACACACACACACACACACACACACACACACACACACACACACACACACACACACACACACACACACACAGAGCAACAAGGGGTCACAGTTGGAAGTTGAAGACTTAGATGAACCACAGGGATGTTAGGACGTATTTCTTTGGTCACAGAGTTGTCAAGAAGTGGAGCAGTCTGGGAAGTGATGCAGTGGAGGAAGGATCCATACACAGCTTTAAGGAGAGGTATGATAAAGCTCATGGAGCGGGTAGAGTGACTGAGTAGTGGCCAGTGAAGAGGCGGGGCCAGAAGCTGTGACTTGACCCCTGCAACCACAACTAGGTGAGTACACACACAAACACAAATACAAACACACACAAAAAAAACACACACACACATACACACACACACACACACACACACACACACATACACACACACACACACACACACACACACACACACACACACACACACACACACACACACACATACACACACAGTGTGTGTGAGCACCGGCCATCTCCTACCAAGGTAGGGTGACCTGAAAATGAAGAAACACATCTGCATCATTACTACAGTTCAGATGTCCCTCCAAACTGCAATATCCTCACCCCTCCTTCAGAGTGCAGGCTATACTTCCCACCTCCAGAACTCAAGTCTGACTAACCAGTTTCCCCGAATCCCTTCATAAATGTTACCTTGCTCACACTACAACAGCACATCAAGTCATGAAAACCACTTGCCTCCATTTACTTCTTTCTAACACATTCACATATGCCTGTTGGATGTTCAAGCCTCTTGCATATAAACTTCTTTTAGCCCTCTGACAAACCTTTCATAGGACGACCTTTACCCCGCCTTCCCTCCACTACAGATTTACACACCCTCCAAGTCATCCTATTTTGTTCCACCATATCTAAACGACCAGACTGCTTCAACAACCCCTCCTCAGCCCTCTGGACACTTTTATTAACCTCACACCCCCTTCTACTCTTCAAATTATGAATTCTCTGCATAATATTCCCACTACACAATGCCCTCAGGCATGACATCTCCACTACCTCCAGCCTCCTCCTCACTCCAAAATTCACAACCCATGCTTCACACCCATAGAACAGTACTGGTACCACTATACTCTCATACATTACCTTTTTTGCCTCCATGGTAATGTTCTTTGTCTCTACAGATGCCTCAAAGCACCACCAACCTTTTTTACCCCATCAGTTCTATGGTTCACCTCATCTGTCATGGACTTATCCACCAACAAGTCACAAGTCCACTCCCAAATATCCAAATACACTCACTCCCTCCTTCCAATTTGATATCCACTCTCCCAATGCCTAAATTTTTTATTACCCTCATCACCCTGCTTTTTCCTATGTTCACTTTTAAGTTCCTTCTTTTATGTGAAGTTTCCTCTTCAAATTATGGTTTAATAATGAACTTATCCAGCCATGGAATTTTTACTTTTATTCCCAGCTTTCATTAGACCTATAATGTGGAGTGTATGAGAAGATTATGTTGTGAAAGTGCAGGATACTTTTTCAAGATCTGGTGAGCTTTGAGTGAATGAAAGTGACTGAGTGTGTTTCACTCAATACAGTACATAAGTCCCCCTGTATCTGCAAGGGATACGTTCCAGTACTTACTATGGATAACCAAAACCATGGATAGCAGCAAGCCCTCTATACGAGTTGTTTTTTGTTTTCATACATACCTATGATAAAGTTTAACTGATAAATTAAGCATAGGAAGTGGAGAATTAGCACTTTTTCACTGATAGGAAGCACTTCACAGCTTCTCTGATGCTTTGAAGAACTGCCACCATCGCTACTTTTGCACTCCGGGGCCATTATTAAACAAAATTAAGGGTTATTTTCGGGCTATGGTAAGCCACGTATAACTGAAACCATGGAAACAGAATCTGCAGATACAGGGGGTCTACTGTACATCATTATTTACCTGATTATCATTTATATGGCTTCCAACTTGCTGGTTTTGTTTGATCAGCACTTCATTAGATAATGTGAAAAAATGAACGTGTAAAACAAGGTGATCATAAAATATGATCATTCAGTGATATTAAAAATCTAACACACACACTCTACCCCACTGAAGGTGCTGGATACAATAATCTACCACATTATGTTACATTGTGCCATATTTTAAAGAGAATTCAAATAACATTAAAATATCACCTTCATTTTTTATTTTTTAAGAATCATATCCATGTAAGCCTCAGAAAGCAAGTCTTCCTTCTCAATTCCAAGCTGTCGTTGGAGATCAGTGGCAATTTTCTCTCCATCCTCAACAGTCTGATCCTCACGCAGCATAACCTACCAACATAAACAAGCTAAATGTGACATCAGTTATAATTTAAACACACAGTTACACGATTATAAAGTGTAATGAACACCTGTCAATGCTTAAAGAAAACCCACAAAAAAGATTAAAACACATGGATTTTGCCTGTACATTTTGTCCTTCATCCAAGGTCCTCATCAGCTGAAGAGAATCTCAGTTGGAGGTCAAACTATTACTTTATTTTTATTAACACATCAGCCATGAGGTCTTGCCTCTGGTAAGACCTCACTCTGTAGATGAATGGTTCACAGAACTGACACGTTGATAAATTAGACACATGTGCAACTCTTGGGTATCTTTATTGAAGAAACGTTTTGCCACACAGTGGCTTCATCAGTCCATACAAAGGAGAATCTTGAAGAACAGGAGGAGAATGAGGTAATCAGTCCCTCAACCTTGAGTCGATGTGGTCAGTCCATCAATCTTGAATAGAATACTGATGGACTGACCACATCGACTCAAGGTTGAGGGACTGATTACCTCATTCTCCTCCTGTTCTTCAAGATTCTCCTTTGTATGGACTGATGAAGCCACTATGTGGCAAAATGTTTCCTCAATAAAGATACCCAAGAGTTGCACATGTGTCTAATTTATCAAGACCTCACTCTCCTGCCAGAGGCACACTTACACTACAGTTATAAAACTGCAACATTAACATCCCTCCTTCAGAGTGCAGGTACTATATTTTCCCATCTTCAGGACTCAAGTCCAGCCTGCCGGTTTCCCTGAATCCTTTCATAAATGTTACCTTGCTCACACTCCAACAGCACGTCAAGTCCTAAAAACCATTTGTCTCCACTTGCTCCTATTTAAACATGCTCATGCATGCTTGCTGGAAGTCCAAGCCCCTTGTACACAAAACCTCCTTTACCCACTCCCTCCAACCTTTCCTAGGCTGACCCTTACCCTGCCTTCCCTCCACTACAGATTTATATACTCTTGAAATCATTCTTTTTTTTTTTTCCATCCTCTCTACATGTCCAAAACAGGTACCAAATGCACAGGGCTCTCCTGTACAATGACAAGTGTCATAAACACTCATCAATGAGCAGATAAATAAACCTGAATGCAAAATTAAACAGAGTTGAAAGGATTTGTATATTTAGATCTTGGTCAGAGACCCTTTTTAGCAACTGAGAGTCTCAGACCGAGGCAGAAATATACAGAACCATTCATCTTCATGTTTACTCTCCATCCATGTTGGATTTACCTGTTCATATAAAGTAATGATGTACTATAAACTTGCCTCAAGCTCCAGTGTCAATATAACAGTCAACATATGTGTCAAAATAAACAATGTCAAAATTCATAGGATCAACAAATACAATATCATACAGTGTCACCATAGAGTCAACATATACAGTGCATACACTTAGGGCATCTTCATTAGATAAGGTTTGATACTAGGACCAAGGTCTTAGGATCAAACTGAACCAGATATAGTGGAGAGTGTATGAGATGGTCCTTTTAGACCTATGTATGACAATTGTTGTGTTCATAAACATGTACAGAAGAATTCTTCCCAGTTTTGCTTATGTAGGTCTTATTGCAACCCTCACATGGTATGGTGTATACTCCTGCTTCACTGTTGGGGGTGTCATAGGGAGCTCTCTTCCTGGTGTGGTCCTGATGGAAGATGTGGACCTGGCAGCTATATGGATGTTACTAATTGAATGGGCCTGTGTTGTACTAGTGGCCATTTCTCCATCAGATAGGTTCAATCATTTTTTTTTTCTGACAATGGTATTGTTGCTGGAGTTGAGTATAGTTCTTGCACTTACAATCTTGTATAAAATAGGGAAGGAAGTGTAAGCATAGAAAAGCATGGGTAATGAATTATAATTCTTCTAGGAATCTGGGACTGGAGAAGATAGCTCTTGGAAAAAAACAAATGACTACATCTCCTTCTGTGAGTAGAAATGAATAAGGTTACTTTATTTAAGGACTTTCTGTAACCTGAGACAGTGTCTTTGCTGGGTGACTTGCATAGTAGGACATCAGGATATGATAGCTTGCCTTTGTTATCAAGTTCTAGAGTGAATTTGATAGAAGTTTTGACACTGCTTATCATCATGTACACATCTGAGCCATGTGACCATGTTGGGAGTGATAGGGCAAAAACTTCCAGTCTCCAAGTTTTCCATAAAAGTATTGGCCAGAACTACACTCAGCTGCTTTCCCAGTGGTAAGCCAAAATACTGGTTTTCATATCTAAATGAAATGAAGTTAACCCAACTCACTTTCAAGCTTTTACCTGATCATCATCTGTGATTTACATTCTCCATTACATATACCATGCCCTCATTGTTCATTTCAATCATTTGGAGTGATGAAGATCCCAGGATCAAAAAATATCCATTAAAATATGTCCCACAGTGTAAACACTTCATGTCCTCCTTCATTGTACCTTCTACCTAATAACATGGTAGTCAACATACAGTATCAGCAAGGAGTCTGGTCTGCACAACTTACCTCAAGTTCCATGAAGTCTCCCAGACCATAAACGGTGTCAACATGGACTCTGGTTTGATCAACCATGTATAAGGTTCGTGTCTTCTTCACTACACCCTTTGTCCCAAGACAGCGCCTCAGTAACGTACACAGATCTCCACTCAGTTCTCCAACATTTCCGGAGACCTGTAATCACACACAACACTGATTAGCATCAAAAATGCTTCACAAATAGAACTAGTCATTCTTTACTAATTTTGGGTCACTGAATATGGAAATAATGCTCAAAATTGCAAATTTGTTCTATTTTTAACAATATATGCTCAGGGCAGTTGCTGGTAACTTTGACCCAGGAATGCAGGATAAAGAAACCATACAGGGTAAAGGCTCTTGATTCAAGCCCACAATGCATAATTGCTGAAATCATACATACAGTTTCCTACAGCCACAATGCATGATTCTTTCTTTCTTTCAACACACTGGCCGTATCCCACCGAGGTGGGGTAGCCCAAAAGGAAAAACGAAAGTTTCTCCTTTTACATTTAGTAATATATACAGGAGAAGGGGTTACTAGCCCCTTGCTCCTGGCATTTTAGTCGCCTCTTACAACATGCATGGCTTACGGAGGAAGAATTCTGTTCCACTTCTCCATGGAGGTAAGAGGAAATAAACAAGAACAAGAACTAGTAAGAAAATAGAAGAAAACCCAGAGGGGTGTGTATACATATGCTTGCACATGTATGTGTAGTGTGAAATAAGTGTAAGTAGAAGTAACAAGACATCCTGAAAACCTTGCTGTTTATGGGGACAAAAAAAAGGGGGACACCAGCTCCCCCTCATGTAAAACAATTGCAGGCTTTTTTTTACACCACTTGGCAGGACGGAGACAATGCATGTTTTTAAAAAAAAAAATGAAAATTTTTCTTTTTACCCAATCAATTGAGGTGGTTCGGACATGTAGAGAGTGGAGCGAAACGAATGACTTCAAGAGTGTTTTCAGTTTAGGGAAGGAAGGGGGGTAGGGGTGGCCTGGGAAAGGGTTTTGGAGGGAGGGGGTAAAGGGGGTTTTTTTTGTGTGCGAGGGGCTTGGTTTCCAGGGCATGCGTGAGGTGTTTGTAGGGTGAATGGAGACAAATGGGTTTTTTAATTTCTTGACGTGCTGTTGGAGTGTGAGCAAAATAAAATTTATAAGGGGGTTCAGGGAAACCGGGAGGGGGACTTGAGTCCTGGAGATGGGAAGTACAGTGCCTGCACTTGAAAGGAGGGGGGGGTTAATGTTGCGTTTAAAAAAATGTAGTGTAAAGCACCCCTTTGGGAAAACAGTGATGGGTGGGGATGTGGTAAATTTTTCTTTTTGGGCCACCCTGCCTTTGGGGGGAATCGGCCGGGGTTTTTTGATAATAAAAAATAAAAAATTTTGTTTTAGGTAATTCTTTTTTAGCATCCCAAAACCATAAAATATCTTTTTTCTCCAAAATGCATTTTTTTTAAAAATTTTTAACCGTGCCATTAGAAAAAAAGTGTACGTGGGGGCCCCCGACATTCGATGGCACGACATTCGATAAAACCCCATTCGTGCATTTTAACGCAAAAAATTTTGCCCCGACATTCGATGGAAAACCCCACAATCAATCGATTGTACAAGCGTGTCCACATGTGGCCCGAACTGCCCATGTGTCCAGTGTTTACAAGCTAGGGCCAGTGTTTGGGATCTAAAAATACATTTCGGTACATTCCCAAATTTCCATTTTTATCACTGTTTTTGGGCTTGTTTCTGCAAAAAAAGTAACCTTGGGCCCAAGAAAGCTTTAGTGCCAACCCTTCGAGAAAAAGGTGCTAATGATATTTAAATGAAAAAGAGATAATTGCAAAGTACGAAATGGAGGCGTTTGGGGAGAGTGCATTATGATTTGGTAAAAAAATTGCCCTGAAAAAGTGGTGAAGTGAATTTAAGGCCCCCAAAAGGTTGGTTTGAAAAATTAAGAATCGTAACGGCATTCGTTTGGTTAAGGGTGGGGGGCCTGCAGTTAAGTCCTAATGGAAAGGGGGTTCCCCTTTAAAAAACTAACACCTCACACTCTTCCCTCCCATCCCATCAATCATCACCAGATCTTCATTAAAGGTAAGTGTCAATTATTCTATTGTTATTAATCTATTGTTATTGTTGTTATTGTAATTATTCTATTGCATTAAACTTAATATTTCATGGGGTAAAAAATTTTTTTCATACTTTTGGGTGTCTTCACGGATTAATTTGATTTCCATTATTTCTTATGGGGAAAATTAATTTGACTTTCGATATTTTTGACATTCGATGGCTCTCAGGAACGGATTAATATCGAATGTCAGGGGTCCACTGTATTTATAACCAATCCACTATTATCCATGGAGGCAAAGAAGGAAATGTATGAGAGTATAATGGTACCAACACTCTTATATGGGTGTGAAGCATGGGTAGTGAATGCTGCAGCAAGGAGGAGGCTGGAAGCAGTGGAGATGTCATGTCTAAGGGCAATGTGTGGTGTAAATATTAAGCAGAGAATTTATAGTGTGGAAATTAGGAGGTGTGAAGTTACTAAAAGTATTATTCAGAGGGCTGAAGAGGGGTTATTGAGATGGTTTGGTCATTTAGAGAGGAAGGAGTAAAATAGAATGATTTGCAGGGTGTATAAATCTGTAGTGGAGGGGAGGAGGGGTAGGAATCATCCTAGGAAAGGATGGAGAGAGGTTGTTTGAAAGAGATTTTGTGTGCAAGGGGCTTGGACATACAGCAAGCATGTGTCAGCATCTTAGATAGAAGTGAATGGAGACAAATTGTTTTTGGGATCTAATGAACTGTTGGAGTGTGAGCAGGGTACTATTTTGTGAAGGGATTCAGGGAAACCGGTTAGCCAGACTTGAGTCCTGGAGGGGGAAAGTACAATGTCTGAACTTTAAAGGAGGGGTTTGGGATATTGGCTGTTTGGAGTGACATCTAAACTGTCATATCTGGGCACCTTTGCAAAGAGTGATTATCTATGAATGATGGCGAAAGTGTTTGCTTTTTGGGTCACCCTGCCTCGGTGGGAGATGGCCGATATGTTATAGAAAACAAAAAAAAAAAACACTATTTTCCCAAGATTAAGGATTATAATGACTGGACAGTAATACATAAAAAGTCTACAGTAAACATAATGGAATAATATACATATATGAAATGAAATAAATTAAATGGAATGCCATATACAGTGGAACCTCGGTACTCGAGCAGCTCCCTACTCGAACAATTCAGTATTCAAACGCTTTGTTCAGTAAAAAAATCGCTTGGTAGTCAACTGTTTGCACGGCACTCGATCAAACAAACACGACCTGCCAGAACTCTGTAAACTATTTCGTGTTTCTTCACATTTTTTACATTATTTGTATAAATAAGCCACCATGGGGCCTATGAAGATTAGTGATAACAGCCAACCAAAAAAGAAAATTGATTGTGAAAAATTTGTTTGGTACTCGAACAGATCGGCACTCAAACAGCCTTCTGGAACAAATTAAGTTCAAGTACCGAGGTTCCAATGTATATTATTAAAAATGATAAGTCTACGTCCTGTACACAACAAATGTACTTTAAGATTTATGGATCAGAGTAAGAAAAATTATGATTTTTTTTAAATTGCAATATTATTATTATTTATTATTTTACCTCAACAGCCATCTCCCATCATGGCAGTGCTAAGTGGTGGGGCCATATAGCACCTGGGAAATGGGAGATAATCAGGTTTGTTCCAAGGAGGGAAAGGACAGCTTCACCCTGCCTTTGTAGGAGATGGCTGGTGAGTTAAAAAAGTTACCTTAACATAATCACTGGAGTGAAGTCAACAGTTACCTTGACATAATCACTGCACTTTGGGCCGTCCTGGTCTGGTCTCTCATAATATATCAGCTCTTCCATTTCATCCTGTAAAATACCATTTTAAGGCATCACTAATAACACTTACCTTAATTTTTTAAATTGCTGGGACAAAAGGGTAAACAATATTGTTAGATGAAACACTAAACATAGGTGGAATATTTAGAATAAGGAGAGATAGAGACTGGAGCTTTATTCAATAATAATAAACTTTGCTATAACAAACTCTTGTAAAATAATGAACTACTCTGTGAATAGTTTATTTCCAGAAAGAATTCCATTCTTAATGTGTATACATATACAGATACAAGAATATGTAAAAATATGAACTGCTCTCGGAACAGTTTATTTTCAGAAGGAATTCCATTCTTAATATGTACACATACAGTAATGCATGACTAACCAACCTTTACGACCCGGAGTTTTAATCTTCCATTTGGTGAATTGAAGAACGTGTCTTCCTGGTGGAGCACGTGCCCCTTACTACCAGACAGTTGAGCCGCTCGCTCGTGCAACTTTACCACATCTCGTACCAGGGCTTTGATTTCGACATTGCGTGGCATTTTAAATCTTCAGTGATCTGAAAGATAATAAAATACTAAAGAACAAATAATAATAATAATTTATTTTTTATTTTTTATTTATTTATTAATTTGAACATGATACAGAGAAGTACAAAAGAATACAGGTAAATGCAGCATGCCAAAGCCACTTGAATGCATAGCATTACGGGCAGGCAATAATAATAATAATAATAATAATAATAATAATAATAATAATAATTCAAATTCAATAATAATAATAATCATGCTTTATTTCAGCATGATACAATGTTTGTACAAAGATGAATGACATTTAAGTGTGCATCCAGAAAGTCCCTTAATATGCAGAGCATTTCAGGCAAACTTAAGATTACCTTAAGATTAAAAAGGCAATGACAATCTGAGTAATTTTATACATACATAACAAATAACAAATTACACTCTTAGATGAGTGTAAATACAGTATAGTATGTTGCTTCACTTAGCACTGATGTTCACAAAGATGTGGATAAAGCATTAAAATTCTAAAAGTGCTAAGAGCACATGCTAAATCAAGAGGTATAAATGCTTATCTAATAATATATGGGATTGAAGGAAAACTGGAGGAAGAAGAACAGGGACAAAATTGAAAGAAAATAAGTTTCAGGATTTGTTTGACATAGTATATTGCTGTCAGGATCACATTAAGGTAAGGAGGTGTTTTTTTAACAGCAGATTTTGAAATGGATGGCAGACAGAGGACCTTTGGAATTTTCAGGCAAAGAATTTCAGATTTTAAGGCCTTTTCTGTGTATTGAGTTTTTATACAGGTTGAACCGGACACAGGGAACATCAAAGAGATTTTTGTCTGCTATTATGCCTATAAGTTCTGTTGCAGCTATTAAGAAAGAGTTTCAAAGCAGGATTAATATTAGAATTGATTGTCCTGTATACTGTATATAGTATGCACAGTAGTATTAATAATAATAATAATATATGTGAATATTAAATATAGTAAGCAGGTTTAATCTTTTGAAGAGAAGGGGAGTGTATTGCCTGGAAACTGATTGGGTAATATAGTTCATACAGCACAAGGCTGGTAGGCAATGCTCTCGCCTCAAGCACTGAGTGTTCATTGTTCAATCTCCAGCCAAGTACGTAGTATGTAGAAACATCAGACGTATTTTCTAATACCTGCTGTCCCTGTTCACTTAGCAGTAAGTAGAGACCTGGGTGTTAGTTGACCAGTGTGGATTGCATCCTGGGGACAAGATTGAAAATAAGACGGTTTCTGATGATGCACTGACTGTCTTGGGTTATCCTGGATGGCTAATGTTCCAGGTTAAAAATCCAAACAAATCTTATCTTAAATTACCTAGGATCACCCAAAAAAAAGTCAGTGACTTTTTTCATCAGTAATCTGTCTCATAACTAGGTTGCTAGCACACAGCTCACACACTGATGTTTGTGGTTCAATCTTCGGTATGGGTGGACACATTTGAATGTATTTCCTTAAGACACCTGCTGTCCTTGTTCACCTAGCAGTAAGTAGGTACTTGCCCCGAAATGCCTAGGCATGATAGTGGCTTTCTTTGTAATTGATATTTTATAATATGTAAACCACACATTGTAAACTTTGCAAGGAAATAAACATTTTTATTTAATTTTCATTGAGTGTTAGTCAATTGGTGTGGGTTGCATCCTGGAGTATACCTGGAGACAATTGACCTAATTTACCAGAAATGCTCTGCATAACTAGGGACTTTCTACATAATATGTTGTTGATGTCAGCTATGGTCTATATCAGTTGAATATGTACTTGTAGAAATAAATATTCCTATTTCCATCACTGTTCTTTCCTAAAGTACAGGTGATGATGTATGGTGACTCGACCAGAGGACTAATGACTAGGATAAATGTTCCAAGGGAGACTAAGAGGAGAGATTTGTTACTAAGAGCAAGAATGGAGGGAGAGAGAGGAAAGGTAGACTTTCCAGTAGACCAACACACAAGTTGTGAGATCAGAACCATAATAATAATAACCCTTATTTCTATAAGTATATGTACAAAGTACAGATGCTACCCTACTTACAAACATTCGAGTTATGAACATTCGGACGTACGAACAGACCGTACTAATTGTAACTGTACCAATTAAAAAGGTAAATAGTTTTTTATTACAGTATTTATTATTAAAATATGATTTAGCATTAAGAACTGTACATTACTGATACTGTACAGTATTGTTTTTAAGTTTTCAACAAACAATGGTGCAGAAAGAGAACAATAATAATAATGACAATAATATTAAAAAAATAATAATAAAATGGAGAAATAATGACTTACGAACAATTCAAGATACGAACAGCCTTCTGGAACGTAACGTGTTTGTAAGTTGGCGGGTGTCTGTATACAGGCGTAACTGAAATCAATGACATACTACTATATAGAAAGCCCCTTGTTTTGCAGAGCATTCTGGGTAAATTAGGTCAGTTTTGTCCCCCGCGGCCTGGCCTGTGACCAGGCCATGGGGGCACTGATCCCCAAAACCCTCTCCAGGTATACTCCAGGATGCGACCCACACCAGTCGACTAACGCGCAAGTATCTAATTTACTGATAAGTGAACAGGAACAACAGGTGTCTTAAGGAAACACAACCTAATATTTCTACCTGTACCAAGGATCGAACCGTAGACCTCAGTGTGTGAGCTGAGTGCGCTAACAATCGAGCTAAGGGATGCCAAACCATGGGGTCCCAGACCTGAATAAGTAAGTTTATTGAGGTATACACAAATATAGTTACGTAGATTATCATACATACAATATGTGTAGAGTAAGTAAGTAAGTATGTTTATTCAGGTATACACAAATACAGTTACATAGAATTATCATACATAGCAGCATATGTGTAGAGAACCTAGGATAACCCAAAAAAGTCAGACAGAGTGACTTATTTCCATTGGGGTCCTTAGAGGACCTAGGATAACCCAAAAAAGTCAGTGACTTATTTCCATTTGGGTCCTTTTAATACCTTATTATTATACTATAAAGGAGATATACTAGGAATAAGGTAAAATGAATTATTTACATTTACAAGTGTGTTAGATAAAAACAATAAAATATCTGTCACTACATTCATTAGGTACTTTTCTGTCACTACATTCATTAGGTACCTTTCTGTCACTACATTCATTAGATACCTTTCTGTCACTACATTCATTAGGTACTTTTCTCACTACATTCATTAGGTACCTTTCTGTCACTACATTCATTAGGTACCTTTCTGTCACTACATTCATTAGGTACTTTTCTCACTACATTCATTAGGAACCTTTCTGTCACTACATTCATTAGGTACCTTTCTGTCACTACATTCATTAGGTACCTTTCTGTCACTACATTCATTAGGTACTTTTCTCACTACATTCATTAAAGGTACCTTTCTGTCAACTAAATTCATTAGGTACCTTCTGTCATACTTTCATTAGGTACTTTTTCAACACATTCATTAGGTACCTTTCTGTCACTACATTCATTAGGCACCTTTCTGTGACTACATTCATTAGGTACCTTTCTGTCACTACATTCATTAGGCACCTTTCCATCACTACATTCATTAGGTACTTTTCTGTCACTACATTCATTAGGTACCTTTCGTCAAACATTCATTAGGTACCTTTCTGTCACTACATTCATTAGGTACCCTTAGGCTGTCTTCTTGAACTGGTTTACACTATGACTGCCTTTAACATGTGCAGGCAGTCTGTTATATTCCTTTATTACCGTACAATAAAAGATGTTTGAAGCCTGACCACTGACTGTAGGTACTACAGTGTTCTTATCTCCCTTTAGTACTGTTATTACTGTGGTTCTCACTTCCTCTAGTGCTATAATTACTGTGGTTCTCACTTCCTCTAGTTCTATAATTACTGTGGTTCTCACTTCCTCTAGTTCTATAATTACTGTGGTTCTCACTTCCTCTAGTTCTATAATTACTGTGGTTCTCACTTCCTCTAGTTCTATAATTACTGTGGTTCTCACTTCCTCTAGTACTATATTACTGTGGTTCCACTTCATCTAGTTCTATAATTAGGGTTCTACTTACTTAGTTCTATAATTACTGTGGTTTCACATCCTACTAGTACTTAATTACTGTGTTCTCACTTACTTAGTTCTTAATTACTGTGGTTTACACTTCCTCTAGTACTAATTATGTGGTCTCTGCTTCTCTATACTATAATACTGTGGTTCAGACCTTTCTTAGTCACTATTAATTAGTACTTGGTTCTCAGATCCTTAGCATTATTATGTGGTTCCAGACTTCCTCTAGACTATAATTACTGTGGTTTCGACTTCTCTAGTACTATAATTACTGTGGTTCTCTAGACTTCTCTACACTATAATTATTGGATCCAGACTTCTCTAGTACTAAATTCATGTAGGTTCTCGACTTCTCTAGCACTATAATTACTGTGGTTTCGACTTCTTAGCACTATAATTACTGTGGTTCTCAGATGCCTCTAGCACTATATTTACTGTGGTTCTCAGACTTCACTTAGCATATAATTACTGTGGTTCTCAACTTGCCTCTAGCACTATATCATTACTGTGCTTCTCAGTCACTGCCTCTAGCACTTTAATTACTGTAGGTCTCGACTTGCCTCTACACTATAATTACTGTGGTTCTCAGTACTTCCTCTTAGCACTTAATTACTGTTTCTCAGACTTCCTCTAGCATATAATTACTGTGTTCTCAACTCTAGCACATATAATTACTGTGGTTCTCAGACTTCCTCTATGTACTATTAATTACTGTGGTCTCAGACTTCCTTTAGCACGTAATTACTGTGGTTCTCAGACTTCCTCTAGACTATAATTACTGTGGTTCTCAGACTTCCTCTAGCACTTAATTACTGTGGTTCTCAGCTTCCTCTAGACTATAATTACTGTGGTTCTCAGACTTCCTCTAGTACTATAATTACTGTCGTTCTCAGACTTCCTCTAGTCTATAATTACTGTGGTTCTCAGACTTGCCTCTAGTACTATAATTTACTGTGGTTCTCAGCTTCCTCTAGCTATAATTACTGTGGTTCTCGACTTCCTCTAGCATCTATAATTACTGTGGTTCTCAGACTTGCCTCTAGCACTATAATTACTGTGGTTCTCAGACTTGCCTCTAGTCATATAATTACTGTGGTTCTCAGACTTCCTCTAGCACTATAATTACTGTGGTTCTCAGCTTCCTCTAGCTCTATTAATTACTGTGGTTCTCAGACTTGCCTCTAGACTATATATTACTGTGGTTCTCACTTCCTCTAGTACTATAATTACTGTGGTTCTCAGACTTCCTCTAGTACTATAATTACTGTGGTTCTCAGACTTCCTCTAGCACTATAATTACTGTGGTTCTCAGACTTCCTCTAGCACTATAATTACTGTGGTTCTCAGACTTCCTCTAGCACTATAATTACTGTGGTTCTCAGACTTCCTCTAGTACTATAATTACTGTGGTTCTCAGACTTCCTCTAGTACTATAATTACTGTGGTTCTCAGACTTGCCTCTAGCACTATAATTACTGTGGTTCTCAGACTTCCTCTAGCACTATAATTACTGTGGTTCTCAGACTTCCTCTAGCACTATAATTACTGTGGTTCTCAGACTTCTCTAGCACTATAATTACTGTGGTTCTCAGACTTCCTCTAGCACTATAATTACTGTGGTTCTCAGACTTGCCTCTAGCACTATAATTACTGTGGTTCTCAGACTTCCTCTAGCACTATAATTACTGTGGTTCTCAGACTTGCCTCTAGCACTATAATTACTGTGGTTCTCAGACTTCCTCTAGCACTATAATTACTGTGGTTCTCAGACTTCCTCTAGCACTATAATTACTGTGGTTCTCAGACTTCCTCTAGCACTATAATTACTGTGGTTCTCAGACTTCCTCTAGCACTATAATTACTGTGGTTCTCAGACTTCCTCTAGCACTATAATTACTGTGGTTCTCAGACTTCCTCTAGCACTATAATTACTGTGGTTCTCAGACTTGCCTCTAGTACTATAATTACTGTGGTTCTCAGACTTGCCTCTAGTACTATAATTACTGTGGTTCTCAGACTTCCTCTAGCACTATAATTACTGTGGTTCTCAGACTTGCCTCTAGCACTATAATTACTGTGGTTCTCAGACTTGCCTCTAGCACTATAATTACTGTGGTTCTCAGACTTCCTCTAGCACTATATTACTGTGGTTCTCAGACTTCCTCTAGCACTATAATTACTGTGGTTCTCAGACTTGCCTCTAGCACTATAATTACTGTGGTTCTCAGACTTGCCTCTAGCACTATAATTACTGTGGTTCTCAGACTTCCTCTAGCACTATAATTACTGTGGTTCTCAGACTTCCTCTAGCACTATAATTACTGTGGTTCTCAGACTTCCTTGCACTATAATACTGTGGTTCAATTTTAGCACTAATTACTGTGGTTCTCAGACTTCCTCTAGCACTATAATTACTGTGGTTCTCAGACTTCCTCTAGCACTATAATTACTGTGGTTCTCAGACTTCCTCTAGCACTATAATTACTGTGGTTCTCAGACTTGCCTCTAGCACTATAATTACTGTGGTTCTCAGACTTCCTCTAGCACTATAATTACTGTGGTTCTCAGACTTCCTCTAGCACTATAATTACTGTGGTTCTCAGACTTCCTCTAGCACTATAATTACTGTGGTTCTCAGACTTGCCTCTAGCACTATAATTACTGTGGTTCTCAGACTTCCTCTAGCACTATAATTACTGTGGTTCTCAGACTTCCTCTAGCACTATAATTACTGTGGTTCTCAGACTTGCTCTAGTCACTATTAATTACTGTGGTTCTCAGACTTGCCTCTAGTACTATAATTACTGTGGTTCTCAGACTTCCTCTAGCACTATAATTACTGTGGTTCTCAGACTTGGCCTCTAGCACTATAATTACTGTGGTTCTCAGACTTGCCTCTAGCACTATAATTACTGTGGTTCTCAGACTTCCTCTAGCACTATAATTACTGTGGTTCTCAGACTTCCTCTAGCACTATAATTACTGTGGTTCTCAGACTTGCCTCTAGCACTATAATTACTGTGGTTCTCAGACTTGCCTCTAGCACTATAATTACTGTGGTTCTCAGACTTCCTCTAGCACTATAATTACTGTGGTTCTCAGACTTCCTCTAGCACTATAATTACTGTGGTTCTCAGACTTGCCTCTAGCACTATAATTACTGTGGTTCTCAGACTTGCCTCTAGCACTATAATTACTGTGGTTCTCAGACATAATTAACATTAATATTATTCTGGACATTGTCAACATTATCATAATATCCAGTTGATGTAATTCATCCTGGCCTACATATATTTTATTATTATTATATATATTATACATGTATAATGTATTATACATGTATATTATACATTATACATATATAATATGTACATATTCTTGTACTCAGGTCCAGGATTTAATATTTTGTTCTGGGTGATTTACAGTTTATCTTTTAGCTTTTTGTCAATGTAGATTTTATTGATTTTATTTTTTTATGTTTAATTATAATGGTTTAACTCAGCTTCCTCGGATCAAACTTGATCCTTAACACGTGCAGGTTAGCTTGTACGGGTTTACCGCTTCTCCAGGCTAATATATATTGTATAAATTACTGTCACATATATATGATTATAATAAACAGTTTGATCATTAATTTAATTTATTATTTATTACCAAAAGTAAACATGAGGTTTATTTAGTATTAAAGGGCAACGGATCTAATTCAAATTCACACCAGAGGTGGACCCCATTATTCTAATAATATATCTTTTAAAAAATATATATAAATATATATTTTTAAAGTTACATTACAGTATTTTATTTCACAGTTAGATACATTAGTTATAATTCTTCTTTAATAGTATATTATTATATTTCACAAGTTAAAGCTTAATATGCATGACATAAACTAGAACAAAAATCAATTAAGATTAAAAGTATTACATATATTTGGAGTTTTTTAAGCTCATATAATACATTATATTGTTTAAAATACTTTGGAAATATAAATATTTTTGAATAAAGTCAATGTGACTTCCACTAAAATTATTCTTATTATTATTTTGAATGTCTTATTAAAATTGAAGAATATATAAGTGAAATATGATTATTAATAATGTTAATGATGGTTATTTTTAATTTAAAAATTATTGCCATTACTTTATTTGAATATAACAGAAAAAAATAATGTTTTAGAGTGTACTAATAAAAACATATATTGTGTAAAATGTATAAAATAATAGTTATTAAGTAAAATACATTTTATTTTTACATAAAGTAGTAAATATTGAAATAAATTAATGGGAGAGAGAATTAATGTGGGTAGTGATGGGGTAGTGAACGTCCTCAGACGCTCAGGACACCTCATGGAGGACGCTTCTTCTGCCTTATTATGGTGAATATTACCGCTTGTAGACCACTACTAACATTAATATACTCGCCAGGTAACGTATTGCTCCTTCATTAACTCGCTCCCTTAAGGAATATATACGAGGGTTTAGGAGGGAATGGAATTTTGATGTTTTCTGTAGTAATGGATAATGTGGCGTCAGCGGCCATGATGCCGCTGACGCCACATGTTGCCGCTGACGCCACATGTTGCCGCTGACGCCACATGTTGCCGCTGACGCCACATGTTGCCGCTGACGCCACATGTTGCCGCTGACGCCACATGTTGCCGCTGACGCCACATGTTGCCGCTGACGCCACATTGTTGCCGCTGACGCCACATTAATGTTGCCGCTGACGCCACATTAATGTTGCCGCTGACGCCACATTAATGTTGCCGCTGACGCCACATTAATGTTGCCACTGACGCTCTATTTAATGTTGCGCTGACGCCACATTAATGTTGCGCTGACGCACTTATTATATGTGGGCTGAGCAACTTAATGTTGCCGCGAAAGCACATAATGTTGCTATTAATCAAGCTTGCTTATTTAATCGTGCTTCCACTTCGTGTAAGTCATTATTTGTGTCTACGTAACTTGTCACAAGAGATACATTAATTTGAATATTGCGCTGGCCCATGTAGGCAGGTCTACACGAGTCCACCATTTTCAACATTTAATACATTGTATGTTTTTTTTGTTTTAGTATTTTCATTCAGTAATGTTATTCATGTTTCCTTTCTAAACTCGTATTTCCATTTTTACTCATTTCACTCATTTCAACGTTAATTGTAACCAACGTTTTATTTATACACTTCAGTGATGTTATATATTGACTCTGCACTTGACTAATTCATACAATAAAGCCAAGTACTACAGCAGGCCTATTTGTCACCAACCGGGTGACCTGACCTGACTAGGTTGGATGCATTGGCTTAAGCCGGTAGGAGACTTGGACCTGCCTCGCATGGGCCAGTAGGCCTGCTGCAGTGTTCCTTCTTTCTTTTCTTGTCCTTTCTGAACCTAAATTTGTTTCCAACTTGAGACCATTGCTGTGAGTCATGTCTTGGTTAGATATTTTTATCACATTTACATCCCCTATATTTATTCCTGTTTTCCATTTTAAGCACATCATATGGTACCCCCCCCCGTCTACCCCCTTCATTATATGCCTTTCTAGAGTGCAGATTTGGGGCCCTCTATCCTCTAGCATTGCATGGGCCAGCAGGCCTGCTGCAGTGCTTTTTGTCAATGAGGTTTTAATCTGTATATAAGTTCGGATAATTTTGATCTAATTTCCCATTTAGGAACACTAGTAGTTTGAGCAGCTAGAACTAAGCTCTGAGAAATATCAGGAACCATCACCAGCTACCCAAGTCAGGTCATTCCAGTTCAACCCACCCAGGTAATTTGTCCTGTGAAATCCTCCAAGTGGAAGTTAGGGTCTGACTTGATTGTGGTTATTAGGGTAATTGAAAGTGATTTGTAATTGCTTTCCCCATGTTCATAATTAAGAACACAATATTTAGAGATTCCTTGTTGGCAAGAACTAAGTCAAGTGGGTTATTTCCTCTAGTAGGTTCTGTCATTGTTTTAAAGAAAATCTGACTTGTATAAAGTAGAGATTTCTGTCAAGTTGCTCCAATCAATTTTTTAGTTAAATTTTCACATTAATGCCATATTTTCGTATCTAGAATTTCGTATCTTTAATTGCAAGTGCAGGAAATGGATATTATTGCTATAACAGAGACCTGGCTCAATCTGAAAGAGATGCCCTCTGAATGTCACATACAAGGCTATAAATTATTCCACACTGACAGGGTCAACAGGAAGGGTGGTGGAGTAGCGATGTATGTCAGAGACAATTTAAATTGTTATTAGACAAGATATAAAATTAGAAGCGTCAGCCACTGAATCTGTTTGGTTACAGCTCGAGGGCCGAGAAAAACTAATTTTGGGTGTGATTTACAGGGCCCCAGATGTTGACAGGGAGTGCAGTAAACTAATAATGGACGAAATTAGTAAGGCATCTACATACGAAAATGTGCTAATGGGAGATTTCAACTATACACAGATTGACTGGAGCAATTTGACAGGAAATTAGTCGGGTGACTTTCTTGATACTATCCAGGATTGTTTTTTTAAAACGGTTTATGACAGAGCCAACTAGGGGAAATAACCTCCTCGACTTGGTTCTTGCCAGTAGGGAAACACTAATTAATAATCTTGAGGTTAATGATGAGCTTGGGGAAAGTGATCACAAATCACTCAGTTTTAATATATCATGGAATTCCCCTAATAATGGCAATCAAGTCTCCGTCCCTGACTTTCGCTTGGCTGATTTCATAGGACTGAAAAATTACTTAGGTGGGCTGAACTGGAATGACCTGACTAAGGGTCAGGTATGTGGTGATGGTTGCAGATATGACTCTTTCCAGGGCATAGTTCTAGCTATGTTCCAAATAGGGAAATCAGATTAAACAAAAATGATCCTAAATGGATGAACAATAGATTAAAATATCTGATTGGTCAAAAGATACGCATATATAGGCAAATCAAGAGGAGAGGAGCAATTAAGAAATCGATATATTCAGTTAGAGAAATAAAAAAGGGAAATAGAAAAGCAAAGAGATTGAGGTTAAAGTTGCAAGAGAATCTAAGACTAACCCAAAAGGATTCTTTCAGGTATACAGAAGTAAGATCAGGGACAAGATAGGCCCACTCAAAAGTTCCTCGGGTCAGCTTACTGACAGTGATAAGGAAATGTGTAGAATTTTTAAGACATACTTCCTCTAGTTTTTACACAGGAGGATACCAGCGATATTCCAGTAATGATAAATTATGTAGAACAGGACGATAATAAACTGTGCACGATTAGGGTCACAAGTGACATGGTCCTTAGGCAAATAGATAAATTAAAACCTAACAAATCCCCCAGGCCCGAATGAACTGTATGCAAGGGTTCTAAAGGAATGTAAAGAGGAGCTTAGCGAACCTTTGGCTAATCTTTTCAACATGTCACAGACCGGGCCGCGGGGGCATTGACCCCCGAAACTCTCTCCAGGTATCTCCAGGTAAACAAACTGGCATGGTGCCAGGTAAGTGGAAAATGGCAAATGTGATGCCTATTTTCAAAGCAGGTGACAGGTCCTTAGCTTTGAACTATAGACCAATAAGCTTAACCTCCATAGTGGGAAAATTTATAAGAACATAAGAACGAAGGAACGCTGCATCAGGCCTACTGGCCCATGCGAGGCAGGTCCAAGTCTCCTACCGGCTTAAGCCAATACACCCAACCTAGTCAGGTCAGGTCACATTGACTTAAGGGAGGAACACGGCAACCGACCTGGTAGCACGAGCTATCAGATCCAACTCACACCCACCCACATCCACTCGTGTATTTATCCAACCTATTTTTAAATCCACACAACGTTCTGGCCTCTATAACTCTACTTGGGAGTTTGTTCCACTCATCCACAACTCTATTACCAAACCAGTACTTTCCTATATCCTTCCTAAATCTGAATTTTTCCAACTTTAAACCATTGCTGCGAATCCTGTCTAGGCTAGATATTTTCAGCACACTATTTACATCCCCTTTATTCCTGTCTTCCATTTATACACCTCAATCATATCCCCCCTGATTCTACGTCTTTCTAGAGTGCAGATTGAGGGCCCTTAGTCTATCCTCATAGGGAAGGTTTCTGATACATGGGATCAACTTTGTCATCCTCCTTTGTACATTTTCCAGAGCATTTATATCCATTCTGTAACACGGTGACCAAAACTGCAGCATAATCTAAACGAGGCCTAACCAAGGATGTATAGAGTTGAACAACCTGAGGACTATTATTTATGCTTCTTGATATGAAGCCAAGGATTCTATTCGCTTTATTGCGAACACTTATGCACTGTTGTCTTGGTTTCGGATTACTGCTAACCAGAACGCCTAAATCTTTTTTTGCAATCCGTAATATTAAGATCGACATTATTTAGGTTATATGTGGCATGGTTATTGTCCTGTCCAACATTTAGAACTTTGCATGTGTCTATATTAAACTGCATCTGCCACTTCTCCGACCACTGCATCAGTCTATTCAAATCTTCCTGGAGTGCTCTAATGTCCTCGTCAGAATGAATTCGACGGCCTATTTTGGTGTCATCGGCAAACTTGCTGATGTCGCTCTTTATGCCCTCATCTGTCGTTTATGTAGATTGTGAACAGCAGGGGGCCCAACACTGACCCCTGTGGAACACCGCTCGTGACGCTTCCCCACTCTGATTTCTCCCCATTTATGCAAACTCTGCTGCCTATTTGTCAACCATGCCTCTATCCAGGAAAAAAATTCTCCTATTCCATGTGCCTTAATTGTCCTCAGTCTCTGATGTGGGACCCTGTCAAAAGCCTTACTGAAGTCCATATACACCATATAATATTCATTACCATGATCTACCTCCTCGAATACCTTAGTGAAAAAAGTTAATAAATTCGTAAGGCAGGAACGCCCCTTTGTAAAACCATGCTGAGATTCGTTGATTAATTTATGGAATTTCTTGACCGGGAATTTAGAATCATACGACTTCTTAGAAGTAGTTCAGGATTGTTTTTTGAAGCAGTTTGTGACAGAACCTACAAGGGGTAATAACCTGCTTGACTTAGTTCTGGCAAACAATGAATCCCTTGTTAATAATTTAGAAGTTTCAAAGGAACTGGGTGCTAGTGACCACAAATCAATTACATTTAGCATTGAATGGAAGTATGATAGTAGGGATAACTCGGTAACAGTCCCAGATTTTCGCTTAGCAGATTACGATGGGCTTAGAGAACGCTTATCTGTTGACTGGGGTAACGAAGAGAGGTATCAGTATGACGGTTTTCTGAACACTATACATGAGGCTCAAAGAACGTTTATCCCGTATAAAGAAATTAGATCAAATAGAAATGACCCAAAATGGATGAATAATAGGCTGAAATATCTATTAGGTCATAAGAAAGGAATTTATA